CCAACTAATAAGCACTATTAACAACAATAAACATTAAAAGATAATTATAAGAAGTTTGAATAAAAAGGCGGTGATACCGGCCAAGCACTTTAGACAATAAATATAAGAAAAACAACAACAATAAACATTAAAAAATAATTATAACAAGCATGAATAAACAAAAGGCGGTAATACCGGCCAAGCACTTCAAACAATAAATATAAGAAAAATAATCATAACAAAACAACAAAATAAAAAGGAAATAAACGAGAGGCGGTAATACCGACCAAGCACTTTAGACAATAAATATAAGAAAAATAACAACAATAAACATTAAAAGATAATTATAACAAGCATGAATAAAAAAACAAAGGCGGTAATACCGGCCAAACACTTTAGACAATAAATAAAAACAAAACAACAAAATAAAATGAAATAAACAAAAAAAATATTAGAAACTAATAAGAATAGACAATAAAATAAAAATGGTTGAACCAACCAAAATCCAACAATTAATAGTCCAGTCCACAGTCCAATATCCGAAATGTTAAAGTCAATTTTTTTTGAGGCGGTAAAACCAGCCAATTTAATTTTTTTTATATGATTTTTTTTTAGTTTTCCAATAATCAAATCTAAATTTGTTACCTTTGCTTGCTAGCTCCCCGACAACGGCGCCAAAATTGCTTGACCGCTTTTTATGATCGGCTTGTTTTAACTCGCAAGTGCACAAGTGTGCGATGTAGCAATTAACTCGGTAAGATCGAGGTCATATCCATAGAGAGCTAGATCTGGAAATTAAGCTAAGTAACAAAACAAACTCAAGAGAAATTAAATTAACAATAACTTGGTTGAAAATAATTGATGGATTTGTTTTTAAAGATAAAAAAAAAATGTAAATAGATTTTAAATGACAAGAAAAAGTAAGTCTTGGTCCAAATCAATTTTAATGGTGATGTATTGGTGATTTCTTCAACATATATAAGATAACTCAACCTAATATCAACGATGGTGATATTAGACCGGAAGATATTACAATGAAGTTTAGAAAGATGAAGATTGATTATTGCTTAAGAATGAACAAGTACTTTCATATTAAGTAAGACATTGAATCAAGCAATATCTATACCAAAATTAAAGTTTGTGCATAAAAATTCAAGATTATAACATTACCTAAATGATTTCTAAAACTTCTTTACAATAATAAATCATTCATGAAGAAAATAAAAAGATAAACATTAAGATTCATTCATATCCTAAAGAACTCACCTCAATCACCATTATCCTTGATTTGGATCCAAGAAAGAGTTTAGCCAACCATGATTATATATAAGAACACTTCAATAAACATGAAAGAACTTGAATCCAACTGAAATAATAAGTTTTACAAACTAAAGAACCGAAATCTATAAACAAGAACACAATACAATTTCAGAAAAAATTCGGACACAAATCTGACTCTAACTTTGGACAGCAATTCGACCCTCTTAGAAGCTTTTATTCGAGAAGCTATTAGAGACATATTTATAGGCAATTCTGTCACCTTTCCAGATCATTAAAGAACAGCTCATTTGGACACCTGAGTCAAAAGTTATGGGCAAAACACCGAAAGGTGTTCTGAAAAATCAAATCAAGACAGCTTTACAACTACTTTGGTGCACGTTTTTCTTCCTCATTTATGAGGTGTCTCCTTCTTCTTTTTGACCCAAAATAATGTTAAAATATCCCCTCCAGCTTTCCATCCATGTGCTTGCCTTCTTGGATCAATGGATTGCCCAAAATAAATCAATTGTTATTTGTTGTGTGGACATGTAAGATCATGGATTGTGTTTGGGTTGATTTGGGGTTGATTTAGGGCTGATTTGGGGCTGATTTTGGGCTGAATTTGAGCATCAAATGAGTATAAAAATGTACTTATTATTTGGGCTAAGATTGACATTGAAACCTTGAGTGTTTAATGGTTGAAGTTTGCACACAACATAAGGCAAGTTTGAGCTTGAAATAAATCATATGATATTCTTTTCTAGAATTGATTTTTGGGACAAATTTGGAGCACTTATTTGAACCAAGATTTGCTTCAATCTTCAACTAAATGTCTCTTCAATTCTTTGTTCTGAATTTCGACATTGAATTTTGTGAATTAATTTATTTAAGCTCCAAAAACCTATCGAAACATTAAAACAAACTTCATTACTAAAAAACACATCAATTATTATAAAAACAACCAAATAAAAACAATAAATACATATGTAAAATAAGAGACTTAATGACACTTTTGATGCACAATCACTTGTTACATGGGTTGAGGAGAAAAGCTTAAGGAAATCAAACATTGCACTATCTACATATCAGTATCTACGACCCGAGTTACTAAGCTCGTAGGGGTGTCTTAACACCTAATGCCCTAAGACCAACTGGTCTGGGAGTCATTAGCCAAAAGCTCGTTACATGGGTTAAAGATGCATGGTGTTTTTAAATTATATGTATATATATTTTAAAAAAAAAACAAGAAGAAAAAAAAAAGACAAAAATAATAATCCCAACCCGAGGAAGTTAAGCTTAAACATTAGAACAAAAATTTTGTTTTCTTCCAAGAAAAACCCCATAATTATGTGTTGATACATTGAGCACAAAAGAAAGGTTTATGAATATCTTGTTAAGAGGTATTGAGCAGGTATATAAATTTAATAAGAGTTTGTTTATCTAGATAGATTAATGGAAGTTAAATGATGAATACCTTGCTTTGTGGAATTTGCAAATTGTTTTTCTATTTTAACGCTTTGATTACTAGGGACTAGTAATAAGCTGGTTGGGGGGTGTGATTAGTACTTAAAAGTGCATTTTTATCATGGTTTTATATCATCATTTTGCACTTGAAGTATCAATAACTCCTTAACTAAAGCATGTTTTATAATAATATATCTAATAATATAAGATACCTTTAATTTGTGGTAAATGTTCATTTTAAATGCAGCCCTATCACATAAATGAAAGGATTGATTGATGACTTTAAGAACTTAAATTGCAAGGGCAAAAAGATGACCAAAATTAGAAAAGAGATGTCGGTGTAATCCAAACCGGAACACTGTTTGGTAATTGGGTCATATCTGGAGCTATAGATCTCAGATTTAGGTCTACTTTATATGGATGGAAAGGTAAGACATAGGCCTACAACTTTTATATGGAGCCCAAGATAAAAAAAGGTCAGTTTGAAGTCCAAATTGTAGCAACAACAAAGAAGCCCGAATCTGTCCTCCAGCCCGAGTACTGTTCATTATTTTGGCCATATCTGGAGTTCTAGAAGTCCAAATGAGCTGAAGTTTTTACACAAGAAAGCTGTGACAATTGCCTACAACTTTCATGTTTTCAAGTGGCTCCAATTTTGACGTTATCAATGACGTTTTGGGTAGACAAGAGAAGATAAGGATTGTCACCAAGTCAAGAGTTGGCCACCCACTCATCAATTAGTCATCAAATTAATAGTTCCCAATTTTAGCCTATAAAAGGAAGCATTTGCCATGTATTTAGGCATCTTGGTTTCTAGATCAAGATCATGTTTTTCCTTTCTCTCTTTGTATTTTTTGTATTGCTTATGCTTTGCTTTCATTAATATCAAGTTTATGCCTTTCATTTCCTTTCCTTTACTTAGTTAACCTTTATCTTATTTATGCTCTTGTTTTGTTTATTTATTTTTCTTTCTTTCATTATGTTTAGCTAAGTTTATTATGTCAAGGTGAAAAGGTTGCACTAATGGTGTAAGAATAAGTATAGTGTAAACTTTTATGTTCTTATTTTGTTTATCTATTTTACTTTCTTTCATTATGTCTAGCTAAGTTAGTTATGTCAAGGTGAAAAGGTTACACTAATGGTGTGAGAATAAGTATAATGTAAACTTAATATGGACTTTAATGTTTGATACTAACATGTTTTATATTTGTTATCTTATTCACTCTTTAATACTTTGCTTGTTAAATGACTAATCTTGATTTATGTTGTATAACACTTGGTACAACAAATGCTTGGCACTTTCATAGCCCATAATGTATGGTATAACCGACACCTGAGCTATGAAAGGAACTTGATTTGTTGTTAACATAAGTTATAATCATGAATGCTTGACGAGATTTACAAGTATTAGCATTAATTGAATAAGATGACTAATGTAATCATGTTAACAATATATAATCTGATTGGAACCTCCTTTGTGTGTGGTTTCCAATTGAATAATAAGAGTTTATATTATACTTGTTTGACATACCATTAGTGGAACCTCTAACCTTGACATTTGTTATTATCATTGTTTAATCGTTACATTAATATTCCATCTCAAAGTTCTCATCTTCTTCTTCTTCTTCTTCTCCTTCTTTTTCTTTATTATTGTTATTGTTATTATTGTTATTATTATTATTGTTATTACTATTATTATTTTTGTTGTTGTTATTATTATTGTTGTTGTATTATTGTATTTATAATTTGTACAATTAACCTCCCTGTGGTTCGACCCCGGTCTTGCTAGGTTATTTATTACTTCGACACTCCTGCACTTGGGAGAAGACATCAATCTTTTCGTCGTGTCATGGTGTATAAGTTCAAGCTTCCTGAAGAAACACGTATTCATCCTATCTTCCATATTTTGTTGCGTAAAAAGAAACTAGGAGACTCCAACCTCACTACTGTTGAGTTACCACCTACTATTGATAATGGAAAAATCCTCATCGAACCTGAAGCCATCTTGGACACATTTTGGGTAAAAAAAGGGTCAAGATTTCTTAGGGAAAGTCTTGTCAAATGGAGATAGCTTTCTAATGACAATGCTACTTGGGAAAACGCTCAAGAACTGCAGGAGAGATTTAAAGGACAAGGTTCCTTTAAATGGGGGAGGTATTGATAAGCCAAGAATATCTCAATGTGTGCCTATCAAGAATCCTAGGTTCATAGAGCTATGAAGATCTAATGGAGTGGACTTAGTCACCATGGTATTTATAACAGATTTGTTTGAATTGCCTCTACCTTTCGACTAGGCTTTCATTATATATAGGAAAAGTAGTGCTGTTCTGCTATACATAGTAATTACAAAGAGGAAATCTAGGAAGCTAAATATAGTAAGGTAAATTTCTTATTTAAGCATTTACAGCTATATACTTGACTTCAGCCTTTTTATTGACATCCCCCCTCAAATTGATACGGGTTTATCCATAAGCATCAATTTGGTCGTAAGAAAATAATGACATTGTTGTGTGAGAGTCTTGGTAAAAACATCAGCCACCTAAAGATTGCTGGACACATGTGGAAGTGATATAGTTTGAGCTGCAAAGGCGTCACGAATGAAGTGGCAGTCCACCTCAATATGCTTTGTGCACTCATGAAAGATAGGATTGAAGATAATGTGTATAGAACTTGTATTATTGGCAAAAAGAGGAGTAGGAGCACACTGCTGAAAACCAAGCTCAGTAAGGAGCCTGTGGAGCTAGATGATTTTGGAACAAGCTTAGGACATAGCCCTGTATTCAGACTCAGTAGAAGACTTGGAAACACGGTCTTGTTTCTTACTCTTCTAGGAAATAAGTGCAGGGCCAAGGAACATACACCAACCAGTAGTTGAACATTGAGTGTCAGAATACCCGGCATAATCAGCATCACTATAAGCAATAAGATCAAGAGAAGTACTAGCAGCATAACAAAGTCCTCTTCGAATTATGCCATGAACATAACGAATTATTCTTTTAACAGCAGCCATGAACTGACTAACCTATTGTACTGCATAAGAAATATCAGGTCTAGTGTTTGTAAGATAGATCAAGCTGCCTACGAGTGTACGATATGCTGCCAGGTCTGATAATAAATCACCCTCATCTTTGCGTAGCTTGAGATTAATTTCCATTGGAGTATTAAGGGGTGGTGAATTTTGGAGACCAATAGTTGTCACCAAGTCCATGGCATACTTGTGTTGAGATAAAAATATGCCATGTGAACCAGCATGAATCTTTAGACCAAGAAAATATGTTAGAGGACCTAGATCCTTCATGTGGAAGGATTTCTGCAAATGCTGCTTTAGTTGATCAATCAGAGCTAAATCAGTATCGGTGATAACTATATCATCAACATACACCAATAGAAACACAACTCCATGTGCAGTCTTACGTAGAAACAAAGATGCATCATATTTACTTTTGAGGAAATCAAATTGAAGAAGGATAGAAGTAAATCTCTCATACCAAGCACGAGGAGCTTGTATGAGACCATACAAGGAGCGGCATAACTTACACACAGCAGAGGTAGGAGTGGAAAATAAGCCTACTGGTTGTCGCATATATATATCTTCAGTGAGATCACCATGAAGAAAGGCATTCTTCATATCCAATTGGTGTAAACACCAATGTTTAGATGTTGCGATGGCTAGAATTGTTTGAATAGTACCCATTTTGGCTATGGGAGCAAAAGTCTCCTTATAATGTACTCCATATTTTTTATGGTTTCCAAGAGCCACCAATCGTGCTTTATATCTGTCCAAGCTGCCATCAGCCTTGATTTTAACAAAACAGACCCATCGACACCCAAGAGGAGTCACACCAGAAGGACAACCAACAATGTCCCAATTTGATTAGCTTCGAGAGCATGTAATTCTTCCTGCATAGCCTACTATCAGCATGGTTCTTTAGCTGCCTGTGAATAACCAGTAGGAATAACAATAGAGGATAAAGTGACAGAGAGAGCAGTAGTAGAATTATGTGCCACAGAGAAGTTAAATCCATACTTAACAGGTGGCACAGATACTCTAGAGGTGCGGTGTAAAGAAGCCAAAACAGTTACCTTAAAAGCCACAAAAGGGTGCAAAGGAGGAGCAGATGACAGGACAGAAGCTGAAGGAGGCAGCACTGGAAGTCTTCTCTTGTATACCATATGTGGTGATTGTGCATCAAAAGCGTCATTAAGTCTCTTATTTTACATATCTATTTATTGTTTTTATTTGGTTTTTTTATAATAATTGATGTGTTTTTCAGTAATGAAGTTTGTTTTAATATTTCGATAGGTTTTTGGAGCTTAAATGAATTAATTCAGGAAATTCAACATCGGAATTCAGAACAAAGAATTGAAGAGACATTTAGTTGAAGATTTAAGCAAATCTTGGTTCAAATAAGTGCTCCAAATTTGTCCCAAAAATCAATTCTATTCCAATTCTAGAAAAGAATATTATATGATTTATTTTAAGCCCAAACTTGTCTTATGTTGTGTGCAAACTTCAACCATTAAACACTCAAGGTTTCAATGTCAATCTTAGCCCAAATAATAGGTATATTTGTATACTTATTTGATGCTTGAAATCAGCCCCAAGTTAACCTTCAAATCAGTCCAAACACAATCCATGATCTTACATGTCCACACAACAATAATTGATTTATTTTGGGTAATCCATTGATCCAAGAAGGCAAGCACATGGATGGAAAGCTGGAGGGGACATTTTTACATTATTTTGGGTCAAAAAGAAGAAAGAGATAGCTCATAAATGAGGAAGAAAAACGTGCACCAAAGTGGTTGTAAAGCTGTCCTGATTTGATTTTTCAGAATACCTTTCGGTGTTTTGCCTATAACTTTTGACTTAGGTGTCCAAATGATCTGTTCTTTAATTATCTTGAAAGGTGACAGAATTCCCTATAAATATGTCTCTAATAGACATCTCGAGAAAAAGCTTCTAAGAGGGTCTAAATTGCTGTCTAAAGTTAGCATCAGATTTGTGTCCGAATTTTTACTGAAATTGTGTTGTGTTCTTCTTTATAGATTTCGGTTCTTTAGCTTGTAAAACTTATTATTTCAGTTTGATTCAAGTTATTTCATGTTTATTGAAGTGTTCTTATATATAATCATGGTTGGCTAATCTCTTTCTTGGATCCAAATCAAGGATGATGGTGGTTGAGGTGAGTTTTTTAAGATATGAATGAATCTTAATGTTTATCTTCTCATTTTCTTCATGAATGATTTATTATTGTAAAGAAATTTTAGAAACCATTTAGGTAATGTTATAATCTTGAATTTTTATGCACAAACTTTAGTTTTGGTATAGAGATTGCTTGATTCAATGTCTTACTTAATATGAAAGTACTTGTTCATTCTTAAGCAATAATCAATCTTCATTGTAATATCTTCCGATCTAATATCACCATCGTTGATTTTAGGTTGAGTTATCTTATATATCTTGAAGAAATCACCAATACATCACCATTAAAATTGATTTGGACGAAGACTTACTTTTTCTTGTTATTTAAAATCTATTTACACTTTTTCATCCTTGAAAACAAATCCATCAATTATTTTCAACCAAGTTATTGTTAATTTAATTTCTCTTGAGCTTTTTTTGTTACCTAGCTTAATTTCTAGATCTAGCTCTCTGTGCATATGACCTCGATCTTACCGAGTTAATTGCTACATCGCACACTCGTGCACTTGCGAGTTAAAACAAGCTGATCATAAAAAGCGGTCAAGCATGTGGCTTGAACCTGTCAACTTGAGCACTTTGCAGATGAGAAGAGTCATTAAAAGAGGGTAAAGAGGCAAAAGAAGTGGTCGAGGATGAAGGCAAGGGAAAGAAACATTGATTTTTAAAGAAACTAACATTTCTGGAAACATGAACTTGATTAGTGTGTTAATCAAAACATAGATAACCCTTTTAAGTAATGCTATATCCAAGAAAGGCACAACTAATTGACTTAGCAGAAAGTTAATTTCTATGAGGTGGAGGAAGATGCATGAAGCATACACACCCAAAGTTGTGAAGATTGATGTATATAGGATGGCAATGATGAAGCTGAAAATATGGAGACTCTAGACCCAAGACTTGTGAAGGAAGTCTATTGATTAGATAAGTTGTTGTAATGAGTGCTTCCACCCAAAACTTAGGAGGAACATAATTTTCAGTGAGCAAAGTATAGACCACATCCAAAAGATGGCAATTCTTGTGTTCTGTTACTCTATTTTGCTGAGGAGAATAGGAACATGAGCGTTGAGAAATGATACCATTAGATTGCAAGAAAGATTAGAAATTGTTAGACATATACTCCCCTCCTAAATCTGATCTAAGAGTTTTAACAGTGGTAGAAAATTGAGTGTTAACCAGTACAAGGAACAACGTGAATATAGAGAAAACTTCTGATTTGTTCCACAAGAAATAAACCCATGTATAACGGCTATAGTCATCTATAAAGGTTACAAAATTCTTGTATCTTGCATGAGAAAGGATAGGACTAATTCCCCAAGCATCACTATGAACTATCTCAAACAGATTTGTTGCTCTGCTGCCTTTAGAGGGAAAAGGTAATACTTTACTTTTGCCAAGCTTAAATGTGACACAATCAAGGAACATACTGGAAGAGGAATGCATTATAGTGTTTATTAATCTAGATTTCAATAGATGGGAGAGAATTCTAGGATTTGGATGACCAAGATGTTTATGCCAAACTTCATTAGACACTTTAGGTGCAGTACAAAAGAGAGATAAAACAGAGGAAGGAACCAAGGTGCATGGAACATGAAATTAGATGAAGAATAGACGTCCGTGCTTAGGTCCCTTCGCTACCAGCTATCCCGACATCTGGTCCTGTACAATACAACCATATTTAGAAAAGTATACATCACAGTTATTGTCCACAAACTGACCTATAGAAGCCAGATTTATAGCAAGCTTAGGTGAGACAAAAATATCCTTTAAAGGAGGTATATCACCAATAGCTATAATGGGAAGAGCATTGCCATTAGCTGTTTGAATATGTGAGGATCCAGAATATTTGCGGATATTACTTAAGCCACCAAAGGAGTTTGTCATGTGATTAGAAGTACCTGAATCTAAGATCCAAGGAAGAGTTGAAGAACCAGTACCTTGAAGACCAAGCATGGAGAAAGCACTCACAATCATTTCTTGCACCATCTTTCTGGTTAATAAATGTGCTGGAGGTTGTGAGATAGGTGAGCCAACAAGAGGCTGTGGAGCAGAAGGACCAACATTGGTAATAATAGTGTGATAAGCTTTGTTGATGCGAGGAGGACGGATAGAACATTCCTTAATAATGTGTCCTGACTGTTTGGAGTAGTTGCAAAACTTATTTGGACAATGAGGTGCAATATGACCATACTTCTTACAACTATAGTATTGTGTCTTGCTCATATCATGGTCTTTCCCTTTATTGTAAGCAACATAAGCAACTGGGGCAACTCTAGTTTGCTCCATAATGGTTTGAGTATGGAGACGTTCTTCTTCACGCAAGAGTTCTCCAAAACAAGCATCCAAGGATGGAACATGATCACAATTAACAAGAGAGGCACGTACTAGTTCATATTCAGATCGTAATTTCATCAGAAATTGGTCACGTTGGCTGATCTTATGGACTTGCTGCACTACCAACACTCCTTCGACAGAGATCTTAGTTGTAACAAGATCAGAATAGTCATTTCACAGACTCAAAAATCCATAATAGTAATCTTGAATAGAGAGATCTCCTTGGGTATAGTTGGTAATAGCCAACTCAAGTTGAAACCGCCTAGCATTGTTATCTTGGTTATAGACTTGTGTGAGGTGATCCCACATAGCCTTTGCTGATCTATGAGGGCGCAAAGACAAGATCAGATGTGGCTCCATAGAACTGAGAATCCATGACATGATTTGTGCATTTTGGCTGCTCATACTGCTTTAGCAATAATAGATCCCTCAATAGCCAAGTCTCCTTTGTTGCTGTTATCTATATGGCCCCATAACTCCTTTTCCTTGAGAAAAATCTCCAGCTGAAATGCCCAAGCAATATAATTTTTGCTAGTAAATCTGACACAAACATTATTTGACTTTTCCATGAAGCTATGACTAAGAGGAAAAAAAAAAGGACTAAGATTTTATGAATTCTATGAGAGAGGCTCTGATACCATAACATATTTGTTTGAATTGCCTCTACTTTTTGATTAGGCTTTCATTATATATAGGAAAAGTAGTGTTGTTGTGTTGTACATAGTAATTACAAAGAGAAAATCTAGGAAGATAAATATAGTAAGGTAAATTTTCTATTTAAACATTTATATTTGTATTTAAACATTTACAACTGTATGCTTGACTTCAGTCTTTTTATTATTGACAATCTGCACACAGAAGAAGGAGGAGTCAGGACTCAAGTCTGTTTTGTTCTGTTTGACTAAATGCCAATTATTTGGTAGGAATCAGTTGCTAGAGTCTTCATTCCATGTAGTTGTGCTATTAATTTTAGGAAGAGTATGTTATTCATATTTAAACTCTGGAATTATGCAGAGAATGACAATTCATTATTATTAACAAATACCTGTGGTATGTTCTCAGCCAGAGAAGAATTCTATTTGCATAATACTTTCAGTTTTGACCGGGATCTGTAAGATACATAATAGAGTTTGGAAGGAAAAACTTATGGGATTCATGAATTTCAGGATATCCCTTAAACAGCGTTTCCGATTGATATGTCTGTGTGAATAGATTTGCTAAGACAGATCACAGATTATGGCCAGAATATTTCGTTTAGGGCCTTGTGCCACTTTTTATTCAGTTATTTGGATCATTATCTGCTGCTTTCTTTTTCTCTAAACAATGACATCTCAGCACTCTTCATAGTATTTGCTTGAAACATTCTTACGAAAAGAGTTAAAATTCTATGGTACAGGCTTTGTTTTGCTGCTTACGGTATTTGAAAATGGAAGGGACAAATAAGTCGGAGACATGGATTTTCCCAAATGCTAGAGGTGTATCTAAATATTAGAAGTGCGGTGGCGATATTGTTCTCCCACTGCCATTTATATGATGACTGGCTAAAGTCCTATTATTAGGATTTATGAATTAAACACGAACTGGTATCTGTTTTTTTTTATTTGCATTTCTATTCATCTGTGATACTAGGTCTTGATATTCCCCACCCCTCTTGCTCTGATTATAACTTTTCTTCAATGAATCGGGCAACAAGTTTTCAGCCCCGAATTTACCAAGATGTCTTTATAGGGAGATGGAGAAAGGTGTGCATGCTCCGTTCTGCTAGTGGCACAACTCCTCCAGTTAAATCGTACTTTGATTTACCTTTACAATCTCAAAAAGGAGAAGTGTCATTTGGAGTGGGTTATGAACCATCTTTTTCTGATGTAAGCTATGCCTTTTGCTGTGGCTCTTCGTAGAGCTAATCTTAGTGTTAGGAACTCTGGTGCTCCACAAGTTCAACCACCAAAAAAGGAGCGTGGCTTACCATGATGGGATGATGCGAGAAACTAGTCATGGAAATATCACCTTATTCTTTTCTGAAACTAGATGGCACGTTCTTGCAACAAGAGACCCTTACGAAGAGCTTGATCAACTTCAGTTTGTATCTGGTTTGATGGAGATCCAGCAAGCAGATGGTCGTGTCTATGTGTCTGCACAGGATTTTAAGATTTTAATTAACATTTTGGAGAAACTGGCAAGTAGCTGTGGCTTAAAACTTCCTTCTGGTGCTTTACTTGAAGCCCCAGTCTTTACTCTTGAAGTCACAATGGAATGGGAATGTGATTCTGGAACTCCACTGAATCATTATTTGTTTGCACTTCCAATTGAAGGGAAGCTTCATGAAAAAGTTTTTGATCTCTTCAGGTCTACATCTCTGTCCCTCCGATGGAGTTTCTCTTTTAGGCCCTCCCCTCCCTCATGTGAGACTCAATCACCTTCTTCCTCTGCAGAAGATAGCAAAGTTGTAGATGGTTGGAACTGTCTATGATCCTCCTTACAAGCCAGAACATGTTTCAATCGTTACCCCGACATTGAATGTTGGTGCTCATGATTTAATGCGGTTAATTAAGTTCTGGAACATGAACTATCTTCCTCCACACAGAGTACGCCCCGTCTCTCGGTGGCCTCGCTTTGGAATCACAAGAGCTACCTGATCAGGACAAATGTCATTTGACAAGGTGATGACGGAATTTTTTCTTCGCATTAATGTTACACTTACCTGTATAAATCACGTGCCTTTAGATGTTGATGATTCAGCAAAAGGACTAACATTTACTATGACAAAGAAGAAATATGAACTCTGTTATAGTCGGGGCAAGCAAAAGTACATCTTTGAATGCAATCGTGATCCTCTTGATATTATTTGCCAAGGTCTCAACCTTTACATGCCCAAGGCTATCTTAGATAGAGTGGACTCTAACAGTGTGCCAGAAGCAGTTAAAATGTCCAGGAAAACCTCTCAATCTTCAGCTGTTGATAGAATCCCCAGTGAGGAACACAATAACATGGGTGGTTGCACTGAGAAGCGACGTGATGATAGATTTCTTTTGTCATGTGCTTATTTTACAATTAGAAGGCAGTCACGAAAGGCCGATGCTAACAGGTTATCAGCATGGCAAGAGGCTGGGAGAAGAAACCTCAAGATGACATATGTGAGGTCTGAATTTGAAAACGGGAGGGAGAATGATGATCGCACAGGATCTGACCCAAGTGATGATGATGGATACAATGTGGTAATAGCTGATAACTGCCAGCGAGTTTTTGTTTATCGCCTCAAGCTTTTATGGACTATTGAGAATAGGGATGCTGTTTGGTCCTGGGTTGGTGGAATATCCAAAGCATTTGAACCCCCTAAGCCTTCTTCATCTCAGCAGGATGCACAGAGGAAATTGCATGAAGAGAACCAGATAGATGCTGGAGAGCTGCTTCAAGATGATATCTCAAATCTCCCTTCTACCAATCATAAACTAGATTCCCCTCACATCACGCGGAGACATCAGGACTCTTTCATCTCCATCAGACTGAGCAGAAGTATAGAATTCACCATATCCTTCAATTGGTATGTCAGCGTTACACCTTGTGATTTCGGATTTAAAGGATCCAACTTGGGAGTAATTTTTTTTTTTTTTATCGAACTCGCAACATTTCAGAACTCTTACTGTTTTTTTTTGGTGTGATGTAATGCGATTCGGCATCATTAAAACTCTTTTAGTTATGTTTGATCATTGTAATCTCAATTTTCTATGAGCTTTTTGTTGATTGAGATGCATCTATTTTGCTTTCTCAACAGTAACAAATGGAAACGCAGGTGATTCTGAGGAAGAAGGGGTTCGTCATTTCATGGTGAAAGTTATTGAGCCACAATTCAATCTTCAATCAGAAGAAGCCAATATTACTTTCGAACCATTAGTTTCTTGGAGATTCGTCCATGTAGTTATTAACCCTTTCCTTTTCTTTTTTTCCTGTGGTTTCTTTTCCTATGATTGTTATTTGTTCATGCACCTTCTTTTCGTTAATATCCTGTTGATTATTTTATGCCATTGATATTCCAAGTATACCAGAAGCCCATGGGTGACGGATTTTTATGCTTAGGGAGGGAAAATGAAACCACAACGTAAGTTACAGTCAAGGGAAAGCAGTGTGGTTTTATTACATCTTATTTCTGTTTTTTGAATCAAGAGTAATTGTTATAGAATTTCAATCTTCATGTATTGTAGGTTTCTGCAGTAACCACTGATTCATTCTTCTTGTAATGTATTTATGCTGGAAATGTTGGAAAACAGGAATCCCTAGATTCTAGGAATTGTGGTGAATCCTATAAATACGAAACAATCTTTGTAATTACTGATGTTGACCAGAATCCTACAAATAGGAAACAATCTCTTTAATTATTATGAATATTATGTTAGCTAAAAGTTAGGGATCTAGACCCTAAATTAGTCCTAATAAGCTTGTATAGATTGTTGTATGTTCTGTACAGAATTATCAATGAAATAAAAAAATAAAAACAATTATTTCATCTATATATTTATGGTATTAGAGCCCGGTTCTAACTCTGAAACCCAGGCCATCTCCAAGAGTTTTTGGGCTTCTTCCCAGACTCTCTGGTTTTTTTTAATTATTATTATTATTGTTGTTATTATTATTTCAACCCAACATCATGTCTGAAATCTCTTCTTCTTCTGTTTCCAATCACAACCTACCACCGATAACGCCATCTACAGAACATCCTCCACTTAAAATCACCAACATTAAATTGAATGTTGATAATTTTCTTCGCTGGTCCCTTTCTGCCCAGATGAATATCTGTGGCAGAGGAAAACTAGGATACTTGAATGGAGAGAAAATAAAACCGGCAGAGACAGGTGCACAGTATACAGTCTGGGATACGGAAAACTCCATGTTAATGTCCTGGTTAGTTAACTCTATGGAAGAAGAGATTGCTGCCAACTATTTAAGCTATTCTACCGCTAAGGAGATGTGGGAGAACCTTAGATAGATGTATTCAGATCTGAATAATCAATCACAAATTTATGAGCTCTTGTTGAAAATCAATGAAGTCAAATAGGGGACAGATTCTGTCGCTGGGTACTTTCCTGGCCTCGAACAGTTGTGGCAGGATCTTGACATGTTCTATGAACACAAGTGGATAGATCCTACTGATGGAGCATATTTCCAACGGCTGACAAAAAACAGCGGCATATTTAAGTTTTGGCTGGTTTAAATATTGATTTTGACGAGGTGAAGGGTCAAGTTATCGGTAGACAGCCACTACCTCCTCTGAATGAAGTCTTCATGGAAGTAAGTAGGGAAGATAGCAGAAGATTAGCTATGTTGGGCAAAAAGGGACGACGAATCTGCACCTGTTGAAATATCGATTCAAGGGCCAAGAGTTGAGGATACACCCAAGGTATGGTTTGATCACTGTAACAGATCACGACACATTAGGGAAACCTGTTGGAAGCTCCATGGCAAGCCTGCTAACTGGAAAACCTGAGGAAAAAATTATCAACAGTCTGTACCCACTGCTCACTCCGCAGAACAGACCCTTCTCAACAAGGAAAAAACTTAATAACTGCTGAAATTAATTCCACCCAGATTCGGGTCCAACACATCAACTTCTAGCAGCCTGATTGCCCACAAAGGTAAATTTTCTTTTGGTTTCTCAAGTTCCTCTACTCTTGCACCGTGAATTATTGATTTCGGTGCTTTGGATCACATGACCAGCACATGCTCTTTATTCCACGGCTAATACTCCTTCTGCCGACAATCAAAAGGTAAAAATTTTACATGGAAGCTTATCTTTCATTGCCGACAAAGGGTCCATTAAAATTTCAGACGATATCTGTCACGACCCGAATCCCAGATTCATGACCGGCATATAGGCAAGGTTCCCCTTTAAGGTTCCATACCTATACAAACCCAAACTTACACACAAACTTATCCTAACTCAATCAAAGTTCAACGCAGCATTAATAACAAAATCAACTTCATAATATAATTGAATTGTCTTAATACAAGAGCTAATATAATTTCATAGTTTTAAAGCACTAATTAGGCATAAAGGAAATTGTACGA